TCAAGAGTGCCTTCTCACATAGAGATCTTGATGAAGAAATGTAGATCGATATTGCACCTGTCTATGGAAGGAACTTGAATGCTTACATGGTGTGTATATCGAAGAAGGCCTTGTATGGCCTCAAACAATCACCATAAGCTTGGTTTGCAAGAGTTATGTTGACTATAGGATATAAGAAAAGCCAAGAGACCACACCCTTGAGTGTAAAACATTCTTCTTCAAGGGGAGTTACAACACTTCTGGTGGGTGTTGATGACATAATTGGGACTGGAAATTATGTTAAGGAAAAACCAATTTTGAGCCAATGTTTAGCTAAGGAATTTGGGATCAACACACTAAGGAGGCTGAAGTATTTTTTGGGAATTGAAGTTGCTCATTCTAGACATGAAAATTGCATCTCCCAACAAAAATGTCACGGATCTTCTTAAGGAAACTGACAAAACAGCATGCAAACCAGCTAGCATACATAGCTCCAAACTTTAGGCTTGGACCAGCACAAAAGATGCTGCATAGACAGTGAAATGTATCAACGGCTGGTGGGAAGACTTATTTATCTATCCTACACAAGACCAGGGCATCTCAAGGGGACATCTGGGAAATAGGTATTTCATTTAAAAAAACAAATAGAAGAGTATTTCTTGAGACATATACGTATGGAGACTATGTTGTGTCACCAAGTGACCGAATATCAATTACCGTGTATTGTACCTTCCTAGGGGGAAATCTGGTGACATGGAGGGGAAAAAAATGTTGTTGCATGATCTAGTGCAAAGGCATAAATTAGATCAATGGCTCAAGGTTATCCTTGAAGATTAAGTTGGAGGAACCAATGCAACTATACTGTCATTATAAGTCTGCTATTAGCATAGCCCACAATCCAGTACTACATTTTCACACAGCACATTGTGGTTGATAGACTTTTTATCAAGGAAAAGCTTTAGAGTGGATTCATTTGCACACCCTATGTGAGTACACATGGACAATTGGCTTATATACTCAGCCAAGGGATTAAGCTGTCCAGCATCCAAGCTGGGAATGGAGAATGCCTATTAACCAGCTTGAGGAGTGTGAGAAAGCCGTATTTAGTTTGTCGATGATTAGTTCATGATTTCTATCCTTGTTTTTAGGAATAGATAGGTTCCTAATTTTGAGCCTAAATTTCAGGAATAGTGGCAGAATACGTTCTTGATTTTGTGGTAGAATTTGTTCCTAATTTTGAGCAACAATGGGAATAAGAGTTTTTTATATACAGCTAGGTGTAGCTCCTATTTTTATGCCTAGATTAGTTTACAGTTACTTGAAAAGAGAAAAACTAGTAAAATATTATTGCTTTCGTAAAAACATAGGTACAAAGGGTTACAATATTTATAGAGAAACTAATGGGTCTAAATGAATGAACCCAAATCATAAGAAATAAGGAAACATAATCCGACCAATAAAGGAAACAAATAATAACAAATATCTTCCATATTTACTACACTTCCCCTCAAGCTGAAGAATGTATATTTATGAATTCTAGCTTGTCAGTAAGTTCTTTAAATCTGTTTGTGCCTTTGTAAGAAGTCCCTTGGTTAAGACATCTGCTATTTTACGACCAAAGAGAATGTAAGGTGTAGTAATTAGTCTATTGTCTAGTTTTTCTTTAATGAAGTGACAGTTGATCTCAATATGCTTTGTTCTGTCTTGTTGAACGGGGTTGTGAGCTATACGGAAGATTGATTTATTATCACACAACAACTTTTTAGGTCCTTTACATCTTATTTTAAGATCATATAGGATAATCTTTAGCCATAATAATTCACAAATGCCTTGGACCATGGCTCAAAATTCCGCCTCAGCGCTAGTTCTGGCCATCACATTTTGCTTTTTACTTCTCCATGTTATCAAGTTCCCACGTAAAAACATACAGTAGCCAGAGGTTGAACGTCGGTCCATTACGGACCCAGCATAATCAGCGTCAGTATATACTTCCAAATATAGATTCCCCCCTCTCCGGAATAGTAGTCCTCTGCCTGTAGTGGCCTTAAGATACTGGAGAATTCTGTCTACTGCGTGCATGTGTTTCTCCTTTGTGTCATGCATGAATTGACTGACAATGCTAACTGCATAAGCTAGATCAGGTCTAGTATGAGCAAAATATATCAATCTTCCCACTAGCTGTTGGTATTGCCCTTTGTCAACTGGAGGACTCTCCTCTTCATTCCATAGCTTGTGATTTTGCTCAATTGGAGTACTGAAAGGTTTGCACCCAAGCTTTCTCGTTTCTTTAAGGTCACGGATATACTTTCTCGACAAATAAAGATAGCTTCTCGTGAATGGGCTATCTCAATCCCAAGAAAATATCTCAATTTCCTAAGATTTTGGACTTCAAATTCATCAGTTAAATTCTCTTGCAAAACACGTTTCTCAACTATATTATCCTCTATGATAATAATGTCATCAACATAAACTAGGATAATAGTGATCTTACCTCCTTGGAAGTGTTTAAAGAAGAGTGTGTGATTTCCTTGACTCTGCCTGTATCCCAATGACACCATAACCTTGGTAAATCTCTCAAACCAAGCACGTGGAGATTGCTTTGAACCATACAGAGCTTTCTTCAACCTGCATACTTTGTTTTCTCCATTTGTGGAGTCAAATTCCCGTGGGATCTCCGTATAAATCTCCTCTTCTAGTTCGCCATTGAGGAATGCATTCTTCACATCAAATTGATTTAAGTCCATTATAGTGAGCAGCAAGGGACAATAAAGCTCTCACACTGTTCATTTTGGCTATCGGAGCAAATGTTTCCTCATAATCAATGTCATATCTCTGTGTGTAACCCTTAGCTACTAATCCCGCTTTATACATGTCAAGAGTACCGTCAGAGTTATATTTTAAAGTATAAACCCATTTGGATCCCAATTTGGTCTGTCAAGAATTTCCTATGTTTTATTCTTCTTTAAGGAATTCATCTCATCATGCATGGCTTGAACCCAATTTTCATCTTTTAATGCATCGTGCACTAATTTTGGGATTGAAATAGAATCAACATAAAACTTCTCTATTGCATAGAAAGGTTCTTAGAAGAGACATAATGAGAAATAGGGTGTTGGGTACATGATTTTTTCCCTTTCCTTAGTGTGATGGGTAAATCATTAGTGTTTATAATATCAGGCTTAGAAATAGAAGTAGTGCATTCAGTAATTACTAGAGGTTCAGACAATTGCAGTTATTGGTGGGGCAGTGTGGATTGCTTCCTCCTTTGATATAGTAGTTCCGGTGTCCTAGCTTTCTGTACCTTCTTTTGATCGATAGGAAACATCTCACTTGAAGTATCAGATGAATTGTTGGACTCATCAACTAAGTAAGCCTCATCAACTAAGTCTTCTTGCTTGTTATCAACTTCTGGAGCGCTTGGGGAAGAAAGACCGACTCAGGAGGTATGGCTCATGTAAGGGAGGTTCAGACTCAAAGGAGAAAATGGATGAAACTTCTGAATTATTCTCCCCCTGAAGGTGAGGACGAGGGAAATATGACTCATTCATGGAAAGTGACATCCATGGAGACAAAGAACTTATGACTTGGAGGATGATAGCATATGAATGGAGATAAGATTGGTGGAGAGCTGAGAAACATGAAGAATTTTTTTAAAAACAAGGAGGGTTGAATTTGAATGTTACTAGAACCCACAACTGATTTGTGGGATACCACTAGTAGGGTGATATGAAAGAAACGGCTCAGCTAGATAAGTCTTATGATTAGTTGCACCAGAATCTATAATCCATGAATTTTTGAAATCAGTGTAAGAGGCAAGAAGAGATGTAGGGTGTGTGATCTTACCAAACATAGACAAAGAACAAGTGTCATGAGGGATACTAAAAGTATCAGCAATGGCCTTAATTTGCTCCAACTCTCCTCATCGAATAGTCACATATGGGGATATTTTACTAAGCTTGTCTAGAACTTGTTGCTTCCCATGAAGGCGAAAGCACGTCTTTTGTGTGTCCAGACCCCTTACAGTGGATGCACGAACATCCCATGGACGTAATTACCATGGAAGTCAATGTAGTCTCCAAGAATCCCAAACAGTGATGAAAAGATCAGATTTGAGTAATGGAGGTTCAAGAAAGCCAAAAAATTGAATCTGCGATCCAAATGATGTCCGTTGAACGAAGTGAAGGCAAAGGATGGTCGGAAACGTCGCATGAAAATTTTTCCAGTGGCAGCTTACGGTGTCTGACGACTATGGCAGCGATTGGAATGGGACCAGAACTGACACAATCAAAGCACGGCTAGTGAAAAGCACACTAAAGGCGAAGAACAGTCCCGCACGATAGGCGGAAACTGCGACGGGAGGCAGACAGCTGCTCTGTAGGCAGACTTAGGGGTTTAGCGGAAGCAGAGGCTCCAAGACCAACTTGAAAAGAGAAAAAATGGTAAAATATTCTTGCGTTCGTAAAAATATAGGTACAAAGGGTTACAATATTTATGGAGAAACTAATGGGTCTTAACTCCTAAGAAATAAGGAAACATAAACTGACCAATAAAGGAAAAAAATAGTAACATATATCTTCAATATTTACAACACAGTTCTTTCCCTAATTCCGTATATATATTGTCATTTTGTAATCAACAGCACAAGGAAGTAATAATATACTGATTATGCAATTTCTGAGATTTTCTGCAATATCTGACATTTAATAAGAGATCTTTGTTCAAACCTAGGCAAACAATCTTACTCAATTACTTTTTCTATATAAACCATGCCTGAATCTACATCTAGTAACTTCTGTAGCAGCCATCATTTTTCCTTCCTGCGTTGTATAACTTGTTTGTGAATTGGATAGTTTTAATCATGAAAGAACATCTTTTACTGGTAACTAGCACAATCCTCATTTTGGGACTGTTTTACTTTTCAACACTCATGGTTTTAACTTACTGATTACCATAACTCAGGGTAATTTATATTTTGTAACATAAATTTGTATATTTTAACCGATTTTTTATATATTGACCAGGTCCTATTGGGGTCAATGGGTGCTCTTGCACTCATGTCAGTCCTATCAGTTGTAATTGGGCGAATCTTTCAATCAGTGCCTGCACAGTTCCAGACAAGTAAGTTGTATAATATGGTATTCCTCATCCTGGTCAGATTTACTGTATTTTCTTATGTCTCTGGAATGGAGGAATTTGACTCAACATTATAGGCAATGCATAATACCGAAGTAATGATTTATAGTAATCTATTTTGAGTTGAAAGTTTGGAAATCTGAATATTATTGATCTGTACAAAGTGTTACAATATTTAGGTGGATATGTGTAATTACTTTCCTAATAAGGAGCTAAGTAAAAGGAAACAAATAAGAAAAAAGTATGCCTTACCTATACTCTATCACAAATATGTCCTATCAAATTTTTACTTATTGCACACTTTTTCCTTTTATATTTACAACACTCTCTTTCAAGCTGGTGAATGGAATACTATCATTTCCGAGCTTGTTAGTGAGATCTTGAAATCTCTCAGTGGGAAGTCCCTTAGTTAACACATCTACTAATTGAAGTCCTCAAGGGATATATAGAGTAGTGAGCAGCCCGCTATCCAGGACCATCAATGACATATTTCCTTTAAGAGATAAAATATCCTGTTTTGAATAGACAACCTTTATCCCAATAAAGTACTTCATCTACCCAAGTTCTTCAATTTCAAATTCATCTTTTAGCCTTTACTATTGTAGTCGTTTCTCAATTATATCTTCCTCAGTTATTATGATGTCGTCGATGTAGAAAAGAAGAATAATGAGTTTTCCTTCATGTGAATGTTCAAAGAGTGTGATCACCCTGACTGTGCTTGTATTTCAAGAACACAATGACCTTTATAAATCTTCCAATCCACATGTAGAAAGGTTGCTTCAACCCAAAGTCCCAGAGTTGATAGTATGGGTTTAAAACTAGCTGTTGATGATGCTCAGAGTCGCAGAGTGAAAAAAATTGCCCATAAGAGGCTCATTCACATTAAAATCGATTGAAGTGTAGAACATATTAATCTTTCAGGCGAGGGAAGTGTAATTTACCTTGAAATCTGTTCATCTGCAGTAAGTAGCTTTTGCTTTTCAGACTGTCAATACGTCTTCATTATTCGCTGTACTTTTCACATTGGACAGTAATATCTGATGTCTATATGCGGTAATTTTCGTTTAGTGTTTGTTCAAATTTTATTAAATACTCATGCTTTTAGGTAATCTGTACTATTCTCTTTTTGACCTGGGGGGAAAGTTGATCTGGATCATTTGGTGATAGCTAATATTCTGCTTTGTGTGGCATCTACGTACAGCATTGCCAATTGGAGAATATGCAGCCGTAACTCTTCTTTTGTTTTTCGGCCTAAAGTCAATAAAAGATGCGTGGGTTCTTCCATCCGATGTGGCTAAGAATGGTGATAACAGTAGTCCTGAACTTGATGAACTTGCTGAAGCAGAGGAGCTTGTGAAAGAAAAGGTTTGAATCCTATGTATAACTTGAGTCCTGGACATCTTTTCAGATATGAATTTTCTGATCAAGTTTTATGATGCGCAAAAACGCAATAATTTATGCAAGACAGGCATATATGGTTAAATTATTTTACCTTGATATTGGCAATTTAACTGTCATTTACACCCTTTAATCACGTATTTCCAAAATATCTTCAGATGTCCAAACGGCTCTCAAATCCACTTGAGATTATCTGGAAATCATTCAGCCTTGTATTTTTTGCTGTAAGGCTCCATTTCTCTTATCCTTTGTATTGGGCAACAGTTTAGCATATATTTCTGATTGGAAAATCATCATTATAGAACTGCAATGTGTATTAATGCATTATGAACATCGTACAAATAGTTGCATGCCATTTTCCCAAAATGTTCTCACTGATCTCCATAAATATAGGTACCCTCAAATTGCTACTTGGTACTTTTGATCCATTTTATGTCTGAATGCCCTATAAATAATTATTTACCAGCTGAACTTCAAATTTCAAGTTGTTAGTAGTGATTAATCAACAGCTCATTTTTAGAAACAAGCATTTATATTGGTTAATGTTCTCAGGCATGAATTCTAATTTAGTAACTGGAATTTCCTAGGAATGGGGAGATCGCTCAATGCTTGCGACGATTGCGCTCGGGGCTGCTCAGGTTTACTTTTAAATTCTGTGATAACTCATAATTTCTCTTGCTTAATATTTTAACCTCAGTAATATCTTATTCTTTGCAGTCTCCTTGGGGTGTGGCAAGTGGAGCCATTGCTGGTCACCTACTTGCAACCTCTATTGCCATTCTTGGAGGAGCATTCCTTGCTAATTACATTTCTGAAAAACTGGTATGAGTCATAACCTGATTTGGCATTGAATGCTTTTATTTTTAATTTAATATATAATTTAACTCATTTTTTCTTCCATCAGGTTGGCTACTTGGGTGGAGGGCTGTTTTTAATTTTTGCTATAGCCACCTTTTTTGGGGTATTCTGATTTATTGTTGCCTGGCCCTACTCCTTTTTGTGTGCAAAATATCACTGATGGAGATAAAAGGAAGGGCACATATGCTCAAACACATAACGAATGCCAGAGTAAAGAGAAGAATTAATGATTCAACTCTGTTGAAGATTTCCTTGAGTAGACATTAGGAGCAAATTGCACACATGGTTTGAGAATAAGAAGGCTTGAAATCTGCCATTGGAGTTAGGATATGAAGAGAAACTAGCATCTTTCTCTTGAGATTTACTTTTGTAATGTGTGCTTATTGTATTAATAAAACTACATTTAAAGAAGCTGATCTATCAAACAACTCAGCCGTTGTTAGAAATGTAAGTATGGAAACTTCTCAACTTCAAGCAACTTTACTTCAATGACTTGTTCCACAATTTGTAGCCAGATGCTATATCTACAATATTAATGGTGTCTCCTCCGAAGAATTTCTTCTCATCACATAAGCAGTGATCCTCAAAAACCTTGAGAACTTCCAAACTTTTCTTGATTGCAAAACCATATTAAAACTGAGCCAAGTTAGTGTCATCTAAATGATCTAGCTACTATATAATAAATTTTGCACCATACTTATGCCTTATCTCAAAACTCATTTGAACCGATATAGTTGTTTTTTTTTTCCTTTTTCTTTTTTAATTTCTTCACCGATTAATCAACTAATTCGATCAAATCGGACAGGATCACAAGAGCGGCAAAGTTTTCCTTTTAAATTTTTAATGCAACTGGATACTTATGATTTGAATTCGAGACCACTAGTGAAGCTGGAACTATCCCATATCAATTGATCCATGTGTTTGGTGGTATTAATATAATTGTTTTAATACATGGAAAATTTAATTAATTCAAAGGTAAACTAAACATAAATTGTATTAGTAAGAGCAAGTGCTGGTGGAAAAGACCAAATGTATACATATGAGCAAGTTTCTAAAGATATCTTGTCTTCAGCATATTTAACCCAAAAAGCAGTGAGTTTTGTGTATAAATTTGATCAATGTATTCAACAATGATCATACAAAAGTTGAGGACTCTTATTATTGTTGAGGATATCTTACTCTATCTCATCATATGGTATATATACCCTTCAGCTTTAGGGTCCATACCACCCTTGAATTGACGGGACTAGCCTAAACTGCATGTAACTTCATCTCTTTCATCCTAGTTTGTGTTTTTCTAAGCCGAAGTTGGGTATAACTATAATCTCACCCTTTATTTATATGGTGTTGCATAGAGGCCATTTGGCTTGTTTGACAAGCCAAATTTTAAAAGGTAAATATAATATTATTTGCTATGATAAATTAACAATCAAATTAAATAAATATATGAAGCTTCTTTGAGAAGTTGCCGCACATGCATGATTTGTTAAATAATTTTTTTAATGTTCAAACCTAATTTTTTTGTAATACAAATAATCATGTCTACTGACTCTACTCGAAGTTTCTAAATTCTAGTATTTAAAAAACCACAAGGTATTGTACTATACTATTTCAATATCATTTTGACTAGGCGATGCAAGAGTTTCTGTGATTTATAATACATAATTATTTTTTTAAGTGAAAGTTTAAGTGAGGGTAGATATCAGTATCCCACTAAGAGTAGGATAGGCCACTTTATCTCTTTAAGGATTTTTAGAAGGAATTACAGATCGTCCACCAATAAAGTTCTCACATTGGCTAACGAAATTGGAACTCACGTCGTTAACGGGTATTATTTTTAATAAATATAAAAATTTATTTATTTAATTAGATATAATGCTTCTTTTCTGGTAACAATTACCAAGTTATTTATTATTTAAGGTTTCTTGAACTTCAACTAATCTGCGACCTGTCTTGGTGTTCACTGTCGAGCTCACTTCCTGAATCCTGATGCACGTCCTTACTTTGTTCATTTGCTTAATTATACTTACCTTGATTTCTGATTTTGCTTATTTATTTCCCAAATTTGATCCATCACGGCCCTGCATAATTCCCAATTTATACATATATGTGCACATCGATTTTGATTTTGGTTCATACGTGTTTATTTTGTCTACACTTGTGTGACTTTGATTCCGGAAAAGAAGTTTAATACCTATTAGGAGCTATGCATGGTTTGGTGAAGCATCCATAATAAAATCATAGGCAGGTAAATTTTTCCAACAGTGATACTCCAATTTCAGCATAAACTTACAAAATCATACTAAAAATGCTATTATAGAGAATAAATATCGTATAAGCTAAAGGCTTTTTGGGCCCATTTTAAGGCTCATTTCCTCTGTCTCCATCATAAGGTTATCATATCCCACACATTGTTCTCTCATTTTATGTACCACTCCCTTCATCAAATTGGTCTCCCTACTACAAATAAAGGTTATCATATCCCACACATTTTATACATCAACCATTCATACAAATTAAATTCATTTAAACACCTAAAAAAAATAACTTTTCGGCTAGATTCATTTTTTGTGATGAACAAAGATGAGATGGGAGTAAGCGTATTGTACTCATCCCTTTCTATCTAGCCCACTAAACATGTCAAAATTTCCCACATAATAATATTAACTATAAAATTGTAACATCACAATTTCACCATCTCATGAGACCCCCTGTAATAATATTAGCTATAAAATTGTAACTTCACAATTTCATAACCTCACGAAGAGCAAAGTTAGAGTGCTCAGGGACCAACAAAATTTTGGTGGGACTAAGGTGAGAGAAAGAGAGAAAAGGTTGAGGAGAGAGGAGAGAGAAGGAAGAAAAAAAAATTTGGTCCAAGTGTCAAGTTTTAGTAAAAGGACCGTGGTAATCCTGAACCATATTAAAAATTTCCCCTCATGAGACCCAAGTAACAAGGGGCATGAGTGTAAACTCTCAAAAGCACAAAGTTAACACCTTGACAAATAACTATAAGATGAGATTAGAAAGAACTCCCACCTAGAGTCCATTTCGTTTACTTTTTAACATTGAACAAAACAATCATCTCTAAACTATTGGTGGCAATTTTCAAACACAAACTGCTAACATAACCCAAACACAACACAAATTTTTCATGTTAATATCAACTCGTATTCATGTAGTATTTGTATCAATCTGTTTAAATTAAATAATTATATAATTACATATTTACCCCCAATTACCCCATTATTATTTATTAATTTGAAGTTATTTAAATAATTCTCACTCGAGGTAAAACTAACATGCTAATCGAATCGTATTTCATATTGAGAGTATTCATATTTGTATCCACCCAAACACGAACCCCCCAACAGCAACCAAATATGAACATACATGCTATATTGTCATCCACATTAAATTATAAAAATGGCAATCAGAATTAGCAAAATATTAATAGTGCCAATAGAACTAATACTCATACCTACAAAAAAAATCCATCCCCTGACTTTGTCACAAGATTTCCAACAGATAAAGCAAACACCAAGCAGTAGGTTCTTAGTTCTTACCAATTCTATTTGTGGGGGCGGGGGGTTCTACTGGGTTACATTGTATGACATCAGGCTAGAGTCAGTTCATTCATATATACACTGATGGGATCGGAAAGTGCCATTTGACAACAATTCAACAATTGCTTTTTCGAGTCGTTGAGAACCTGAACCAGGTCTCAAGATCTTAGCATCTCCCCAAGTTAAACATGTGCTATTCCCAGGCTCACCTAAGCACCATCCACCCGGAACAACTGATCCACGACTTCTACCCAAAATTTTTTGGTCGATGAGATCAAGCACCGGATCATCTGCCTGGAACTTCTGAGCAAAGGCTGCTCTGCTTCGAATCATGTCATCAAAATCAGTGGAATTGAGTGGTCGAAGATCATTTCTATGGCTGTCATGGAGAGCATATAATAAGTTCTGATTTATGACTGTCCTGTTGAACTGGTTAGAATTGCAGAGAACTGTAGGGAAATAGCTGGACAGTGATGAAGGTGTGTTTGCAAAATACATCAATAGAACCCTTGGGAGGTTGTCTACTCCCAATATGCAGAACTCCATAAAACTACGGCTTAAGACAGAAAAAGATGAACCTGCAGAAGAAAAGAGTAAGTTCCATCTACTCAAGTTTTTTAATTCATAGAAAAAGAAATTTTATTGGCGAGAATAAAGGCAAGCACCACTAGGACAGGATAAAATTTCCTCCAAAACAGGTAAATAGATACAAAAGTAATATTAAAGAAAAACACAAGAACGTGACATGGCAGCCAAAGTCTCTCCGCATATCCGAGATAACAATTCCTTCAAAAGCAATCATGAGCAAAACACACAAGAGAAGGCAAAAACAAAATCTATACCCTAAAATGCATGATAAGTGTTTTGTGTGACCATAGAATGCATATAAAGTGTTGTATGTATGGATCAAAATTGTGGGAACTGAATTGCAATGACAAACAAAAAGATGAAGGTCACATAAACGAGGATGATGCAAAAGATGAGTAAGAAGGAGGTTGAAGTGACTACTATAGAGGGAAAATAATGAAAAATCACATAACATGGTTCCGTCAAATAAAACGACCTATACATACCTGAGTAAGGAGATGTGAGAATACAGAGATTCCTCCTTTAAAGATGATAGAGTTAGACTAAAAACAACATAGTTGGAGACTATTTATACTGATTTAGGGCACACAGGGCTCCATGAATCTATGATACAGTAATGAACACAATAGCAAACTACAATCAAGGTAGCCAGGTTGTACTCGCTTGGATTTCAAAAGTGCGAAAGCAAATTTTGGATTTAATGCCAATCCATTGATAGTGTAAAGAGTTCTATAGAATCTATACTAACAATGAACCACATGTGCTGTGTCTTTAAAAACCATTAAACGATATTATGGCAAGTGAAAATATTTAGTTACAAAAATGATGGGCCACTTTCTTGTTTACTGATAGTGCAAAATTTTGTTGGGCCATTTGCTACTGAATCAACAACTGAAGATGTATGATAAGTGCTGCTGCTTATACAACATACAAATTCTAAAAATTTCTTTGCAAAGCAATCAAAAAGAAATCTCAGTGAAAGTGCACACAACTAAATTTAAACCCTTATTAGTATTGAATATCTCATTAATTCCCTTCCAATTTAAAATCTTGTCAACAATGGAAGCCTGTTTTTGAGCCAATGTCCAAGTAGCCCAATTTTGCCAAGTTACTTGCTAAACACATTAGTTCACGTGGCCATGTGGAAGTAGCCTTTTAGTCAATTAAATAATTAATGGCTTGCATGGATATGCTGTAGTACAGTACTCTATCTCATTGGACCAACACACACCATTAAACTTTCAGTTTGTTTCCCATTTAATGGGATCAGTTTCCGGTCCAGGTATGGTTACCTATATGGTTCTTGATTTTGATTTTGGATTAAATTTCAGAGCAAGTAGACTCATGGGCTTCTTAGCCCATTTATTACATAAAACAGAAATGGGAGTATTATTGCCTTTGGCATGGGTCAGCTGCAAAATGTCATTAATTTGAGCCGGGTTTACAACTTGACCCACTCTAAAATTTGACCTAGCTTGTTCCTCATATGTGTCACACATTTGTAGCCTCTTCTATTGATAGTGGTGCTACAACAACTCTTCCTCTCACGATGGTGCTCTTCCGGTGGCTTTGGCAAGAGGAAGGGAGGGGGGGACCACCTCCACTGGTGGCGGTGGCCATGCTGAAAACCACCCTCTCTTTACCCAATCCTAGTCGTCTCCCTTCAGAAAGAGCCTCCTCTTTCCTTTCCCTTTTTGTCACCTTCGATTGTATGACATTGGCCTCCTCCTTTTTTCCCATCTCCCCTTCCATTGACAGTTGCTTATCCCTTTGTTTTCGTCTCCAATTTCTGCTTGGGAGAAACTATTGAAAAAGGTTTTCAGTATATCGATCTTGAATAATTACATGAGGAATGAGGAGTATTTATACAAGAAAAAATAGCTAAGCATGACTCAGCTATGACTCACCAAACCTAATCACAATCATAAGAATGACTCAGCTATGACTCACTAAACCTAATCACAATTAATTCTAATTAATTACAATTAATCCTAACTAATAGGAAATAAAAAACAATCAATCCTAATTAATCTTAATTATTCCTAATAAATAAAAACGGAAAAATATTTGAATTTGAATTCTGATTTTCTACACTCCCCCTCAAGTTGGGAGGTAAATGTTGATCATTCCCAACTTGCCAATCAAGTCTTCAAAGGCTGGCCGGTGTAGGCCCTTAGTAAGAATATCTGCAATCTGCTCTTTGGTAGGAATATACACCATACATACACTTCCATCATCTATTTTTTCTTTGATAAAGTGGCGATCAACCTCCACATGTTTTGTTCTGTCATGGTGAACTGGATTTTGAGCAATACTGACAGCAGCCTTATTATCACAATACACTCTGACAGGAGGGGAAAAAGAGATCTTCAATTCCTCAAGGAGTCTTCTTAACCAAATTCCTTCACAAATACCATGGGCTAGAGCCCGAAATTCTGCTTCTGTACTGCTCCGGGCAACAACTGTTTGTTTCTTACTTCTCCAGGTCACAAGATTTCCCCAAATATAGGTGCAATATCCTGAAGTGGATCTTCGGTCCAATGCAGAGCCAACCCAATCTGCATCTGTATATATTTCAATCATCCTCTTGTGTCCCCTTTTAAAGAACAATCCTCGACCAGGGGTGTTTTTGAGGTACTTCAGAATTCTATAAACTGCACTCAGGCGTTTTTCCTTAGGAGAATGCATGAATTGACTAACCATGCTAACTGCAAATGCAATATCAGGCCGAGTGTGAGATAAGTACATCAACTTCCCCACCAATCTCTGATACTGCTCTTTGTCAACTTCTTTCCCATCTTCGATTCCCAATTTAATGTTGGGTTCAACTGGAGTCTCTGCTGGCTTGCACCCAAGTATTCCTGTTTCTTGTAACAGGTCTAGAATATATTTCTTCTGAGTTAAAGAAATTCCTGCCTTACTTCGAGCAACTTCCATGCCTAGGAAATATTTGAGAGATCCAAGATCCTTCAGTTCAAACTGATTAGCTAAACATTTCTTCAAAGAGCTTATCTCCTCACAATCATTACCTGTGACAATTATGTCATCAACATAAACAATGAGAATAACAATTTTACCACCATTAGAGTGTTTTAAAAATAAAGTGTGATCAGTCTGAGCTTGGAGGAATCCTCTTCTCTTAACAACTTGAGTAAACTTCTCAAACCACTCTCTAGGAGATTGTTTAAGACCATAGAGAGATTTTTCAACTTGCATACTGAATCGTCTCCTTTTTCAAAACCAGGTGGTGGATCCATATAAACTTCTTCATGTAGATCACCATTCAAGAAAGCATTCTTTACATCTAATTGTTGCAAGGGCCAACCAAGATTTGCAGCAAGTGATAAAAGAACTCGGATAGTATTAAGCTTGGCAACGGGGGCAAATGTCTCTTGATAGTCTATCCCATGAGTTTGAGTGAATCCCTTAGCAACCAGTCTGGCCTTATACTTGTTGATGCTGTTATCTGCATTAAACTTTATTGTGAACACCCACTTGCAACCTACTGTTTTCTTTCCTCTGGGTAATGCTACAGACTCCCAAGTTCCATTTTTGTTGAGTGCATCCATTTCTTCAAAGACTGCATTCCTCCATTTTGGATCATCAAATGCTTCTTGGATATTTTTCGGTATTTTTGTACTGTCTAACATAGTGTTGAAAGCACGAAAACCTGGGGACAACTTTTCATATGTGATATGATGAGAAATAGGATGAGCGGTACAAGATCTAGTACCTTTTCGAAGAGCAATAGGCACATCTAGGTTGGTTGTATTAGTGTTGCTGGAACTAAGACTTGAGTCAGAATCCTAGCAGTCTAGAGGCTCATGAGGTGATTCTCGCCTGCTGTAAAACTTTCCCCATTTTCCGGGAGGATCTCCATTATCTAACACATTAACTCCCCCTGTCTTTTGCATAATGACTCCCCCTGTCTCCAACGGCAAAGGCAAAACAACAAAATCATTTGGTTTCCAAGACTTATCTTCATTAACCCCAATAGACTCCCCCTGAAGAGAAGTCGAAGGAAAAAAAGATTGTCTCTCATCAAATGTGACATCCATAGAAACAAAGACTTTACGAAGTGAAGATAAGTAACACTTGTAGCCCTTTTGGTTAGGAGGATATCCTATGAAGACACATTTAATGGACTTAGGATTGAGCTTGGACCTTTGATGGGGAGGAACATGTACAAAAGCCACACAGCCAAACAACTTGGGAGGAAGGGAAGAATGAGCCCGGAAAGAAGGAAAGGTGTGGGTAAGACAAGATAAAGGAGATTGAAAATTTAGGACACGAGAAGGCATCCGATTGATGAGGTATGCTGCAGTCACGACAGCTTCCCCCTACAAATATTTAGGGACATGCATGGTAAACATAAGAGCTCGAGCAACTTCAAGGAGATGTCTATTTTTTCTTTCAGCCACCCCATTTTGTTGAGGGGTGTTAGGACAAGAACTTTGATGAAGAATACCATGCTGGCTGAGATAGTTTCCAAGAACAGAATTAAAATATTCAGTACCATTGTCAGTTCGAAGAATTTGGATAGAGGTTGGAACTGAGTTTGAACCATAGCATGAAAGTTTTTAAAAATGGATGCAGCGTCAGACTTATCCTTTAGAAGGTATACCCAACATACCCTAGAGTGATCATCTATGAAAGTTATAAACCAACGAGCACCAGAGATATTTTTTTCACGGGCTGGACCCCATATATCACTATGAATCAAAGGTAAATGGAGAAGAATCGTGATGGACTCTAGGAGGATAAGAAACACGAGAATGTTTTGCAAGCTGACAAATATCACAAGAAAAAGAACTGGGATTTTTATTGATAAATAAGCTTGGGAACAACTTCTGAAGATAAATGAAATTTGGGTGTCCTAACCGACGATGCCACAACAAAACATCATTACAATCATCAGACAAACATACCAAGTGGTTCACAAAAATTTTTCCTTCACAAGAATCTTTTTCTAAATATTAAAGTCCTTCTT